GTTCAAGTCCAGTTTATTGACTAGTTTTAAATCTATATTTAAAACTATAGTACTTGGTAAATGCTCTGATCTCTTATATCTTTGCAATATACTTGGAAAATGTGTGAGTGAATAATTTGCACATTTTTTTCTTGACTAGAATGGAAAATGCCGTTATAATCCTGATAATATTGGAGCCACATCCACCGGCTATACTGATGTGAGTCAAGGCGATGAAGATGCCCTGAAGGAGTCTGTGGCCACCATCGGACCCGTTTCTGTGGGCATTGATGCTTCTCAGATGTCATTTCAGCTCTACGAATCAGGTAAAACACTGTGTTGAAAGTGCCAAATAAAAATCTTATATAGAGAAAGAAACGTGAAGATTTACTTATTGATTTTTAAACCTCTCAGTCTAAATGGTATGTATTTCTAGGAGTGTACAATGAGCCCCAGTGCAGCAGCTCAGAGTTGGACCATGGTGTGCTGGCTGTGGGTTATGGTACTGAGGACGGAAATGACTACTGGCTGGTCAAGAACAGGTAAATAACTTGATTGATGCTCGTTCTAATCGTTACTGAGAGGTAATACATGTAGATTATTACGTCGCTACATTCGGTTACATATTATATCTGCTAAATGTTTATTAATTTGTTTCTTTCTGCAGCTGGGGTCTTGAATGGGGAGACAAGGGATACATTAAGATGAGCAGGAACAAATCCAACCAGTGTGGGATTGCTACTGCAGCAAGCTACCCTCTGGTCTGAAGAGGTCAGAAGAAACTTAAACTACTTTTTCTTTCTAGCTCTACTAAGATTTGTTTTTAGCAATTTCATTAACAATTCCTTTTAAACATATCAAACCTATGATCATGTGCACAGATTAATATAAAACTATTTGTGCATCCCACAGTTTATTGACTGATTTATTACATTTGCAGGTTTCCTCAGTGAGGTGGAGATCAGTGGCATGTAATCAACATTAATTTTATTTTTATTATTTCTTTCTTTTTCAGGGTAAAGAGTCACCCTTTGCCCTGGTTTATGTTTAATAGAAAGGTATATAAAATTGTAAATAAATATAAATAAATAAAATATTTCACAGTGATTTAAACATTTGTTTGTGCGTTTCTCTTTGTTGGGGGTGTTTGGCTTTGTAACCATTCAGTGGTTTATCCAGACAGAGATATTCAACATCAGTGGGATTTTTTTTTTGTCCCGCCACACAATTTTAAATCATACAGAAAGTGTGTGAAGTCTGGTAGCCTTAATCTAGCATACAGCTCAGCTAACCAACTGATCACATGCCATCCAGCATCAGCTCATGGACACCACAGCACCAGCTCCTCCTCAGAAACAGTGTGGCTCCTGGTGGGCCTTCATTGCACTCACACTGTTCTGTAACATACTGTTCAAGTTAATTCAGATATATTTATGTACTTCCAAATAGCCAAATCAGTAAACATCCCGAGAAAACCATAACAATCAGATCATCCCCTTTATACAGGCTGCATCCATAGTGTTTAGAAGCAAAAAATTACATTCTCCTCTCTGGTTTCTCCTGTCTTTGATCTTGTTTTGATCTTTTTTTATTTTAAATAACATTTCTTGCTTTATCTTTTCAGAAACAGCTTTACTTTCTTGGGCATTCTGTAGTTGGTGAAAATTTATCTCCATCCATCCAGCCGTCTTCTTCCGCTTATCCGGGGCCGGGTCGCAGGGGCAGCAGGGGAAAGGGAGCCCAGACCTCCCTATCCCCTGCCACCTCCTCCAGCTTGTCTGGGTGCTTTTAAATAAAACGTATTCTTCTTCTTCTTCTTCTTCTTCTTCTTCTTCTTCTTCTTCTTCTTCTTCTTCTTCTTCTTCTTCTTCTTCTTCTTCTTCTTATTATTATTATT